CATACACAGAAAAAAAATTTTCATTCTAAGGACTAAAACATACTTCTCTAATGGAATGGCTATGAAAGAAGCTGGACCAAATGAAAATATTATTCAAGTCTCTGCAGTGGTCAATAAAAACTATGTCATAGGAATTCCTGAAAAGTTCCTGCCCAATGAGTCTGAATCATGAAAGTTAGCCGAAGTATCTTATTTCACACTGTCTGCACACATAGGAGAGGGAAATCAGATCCTGGCACTTCCTAAAGCCCAAAGATACTAAAAGTGACCATGACCAATATTTCAATAGAGGTAAACTGTAACAATACAAGGAGAGGCGCTAAAATATATTCTCTCCACATTCAAGAAAACCTAATGGATTTTCTGAACTCCTTAATGGCATGTCCTAGAATAATGTTCTTAAGAAACTGTTTTTAAAAAACTATGCTTCATAAAAGCTAATTAGCAAGGATAATGTTAAGAAACTATAAAAAAAAAATCTATGCTTCATAAAAGCTAATTAGCAGATCATCCAACAACTGCAAGTATTTTTATAGCTGTTATCAAGTACCATCTTCTCTTTGGGGGAAAAACATTAAAACCAAAAGGAACCTGAAGGGTGAGGAAATGAGGTGACTGCCACCTAGAAGCTCAGCATTTTGCACTATTCTGACCTCACCTGACCATGTATTAATAATTTCCAACTTCAGGCTTGTGCCTTAAAAAAAAAAGGGTGTTAATACAACTAAGACTGAAGGGACCTTATGGAAGGAAATGTAAGCTAGAGAAATTTTAACATTTTCATACCTGTGACTCTTTCACAAGCCTTCCCTACTAAAAACACACAAGTGGTACAGTGATACACTCAAGGATGTTCTCTGAAGAACTCTTCTTAATGTGAAAAACCGGGAAACCCAAATTCCCAAAGAGAGAAATAACAATGAAGTACCACACAGCCAATTAAAAGAAGAAAATGAGAATGAGCTGTATGCATGGTCATGAAAACATTTTCGAGATGTATTATCAAGTTAAAAATAAAAATGAATGGGGCCCGGGGATTTAGCTCAGTGGTTTCGCCGCCTGCCTTGCAAGTGCGAGGACCTGAATTCGATTCCCAGTACCAAAAAAATAAATAAATAAAAACCAATGGCTGGGGACAGCTGAGTGATAGAACGCTATCCTAGCATCCATCCCCAGTACTGCATAAATAAATAAATACCAAGCTGAAAGTCGAACTGAACTGGTCCTAGTTGTTATTAATATCCACAATATTTTATATGGGAAAATTTGGGGTGAAAATATACATATTTGTAGCAGTTTCTCCAGAATATAAAATTATAGTTCATTTTAACTTTCAACATTACATTTTGGCAATGTGTGGATTCTGAATAATATGTATTATGAGTGCATTCAGAAAAAAAATCAGGTTTCATTTTAAGTTACTGACATAACTGGAAAAGAAGAAAATCTTTGTAAAGGGAAAACTTAAGATGCTAAGTTTTCATTACAGCTCTAAAATATCATCTGTCTCTACCTCTCTTTTAGAAGACCACAGCATATTCTCAGAACTTCAAAATTAAGCAATACACATAGATACATACAGGCAAAGTCCCTTTAGAATCTCTGGAGTAATAGCTTCTCAGCATAAAAGCCCAGCCCAAGCTCCAGTATTTATCCAGTTCTACTGAGCAACACGGTCACCTTCTGCATCGCAGCAGACAAACTCATGTACAAAGAGTACAGAATCTTCAGTCTGAAGACATCTGAAGCATTTTCATAAGGAAAATATGAGGAATTACAGATAACTGTGTTTGAATCCATAGTCCTGTACCTTATTCAAACATTGTAAAACCTAAACAGAAGAAAGAATTGCTTAGAGAGCTAACTGAGGAATCACTCGAATTGGAAAATTTTCTACCTGCCTAGGAAAGGGTAAGAACTTGTACTGGGAGAGGTTTGTCCCTCTACTTACAAGACCTTGGGCAAAACATGTAAACTCCTCTAGCTCAATTTCCTCATCAGCAAAATGAATGAACTGGTAATAAACACCCTCTGTGGTCCTATTAGTTCTAAAATTCTGATAAGAGACCTTTATTCTTGCCAAGGGCCTTTATTAAAAAATATATGTACAAATAATAAAATTTTATCTAGTATAAAATATATAACCAAAAACAGAACTTTTGTCTCTTTCTCACCTCTGAGTTCCATTCTTTAAACAACAAAAAGTTCCTTCTATTCCTCTAGCCATCTTTTTCTCACAATTACTTCCATATTTGTAAACTACACACTTTTATTACTATTTACTGGGGGTTTTTTTTTTTTCAATTTTAGACATTACCAAAAGTCCTCTATCTAATCTATTGGAACATTTATTCACCCACGACACTCCCAGGGCTTCCCTCCCAAATGTAAGGCAATTTTATTAGACAGCCACACTGTTGAGATGCTAGGATATATTATCCTTATTTATATAAACATATACACATATGCACATATTTACATATAGTCTCTTTGTCCTACCTCCACATGAGTTCGCACTTTGGTTAATAAGAACTAAGACCTCATTTCATATCCAAGAACTTCACAAAACTCTTAACAGGGAAAAAATTAAAAGCCTGGCCTGTAAATCAGAAATTTTGAATTCAGATCTAAGTCTACTACACACTGAAGCAAACTCCTCATAAAAGTCCTTTTTTATCTTTGAACATCAGCTGTTTTCCTCCTGTGCAGTCTAACAACAGTCACTGCAAAATATTTAAACAACATGACATAAGACCGGGCGTGGTGGGTGCACACCTGTGATCCCAGCACTGAGGCTGATGCAGGGAGATTATGAGAATTCAAGGCCAGCCTGGGCTACATAGTGAGTTCAAGGACAGCCTGAACTATAGAGACCCTGTCTCAAAAAAAAAAAAAAAAAATCAAATGGCACAAATGTAAAAGCACTTTGTTAATCATAACATACCACAGAAATGTTCACTTTTGCTATTATCTTTACTATGAGATCTCTACAAATGAAGTTCTTGTAGTTTTTTGGTTTTTTTTATCACTCTTGACCAGTGTTCCTCTACCTGGGCTAAAAATCAAGAGTGAAGTCACTGGGCATAAGAGTGAAACATACCAATTGCTTCCAGGCCAGAATTTGAGGGCCCAGATCTTCAATGGGCCTATGGATTGTTCTATGAGACAAATGTACACAGAATAAAAATCAAATGTCTAAGTAGAGATCAGAGAAAATAATTTTGCTTTGTTTGTGGACAGAAGGGAGATTCCTTATCAAATTTCCCTTTTAGAAGTGATACAAAATCACAGTTTCATTCCCCTAAGGTAACATTTATCTGTTTCTTCTTCTATTTACCGTTACATTTCTACATGTTTGCACATCTGCTTCTTGATTTGTAGCCACTGTCTATGAATTTCCTATTACAGAAAGAACTTTGCAGAGCAAATATTTTGAACCAAACCTGGAAGGTAGGGCACAGGACTGTTTCCAGCAATGCATCTGTCCGCCTCTGTAAAAACAGAACGCTTTGTACAATACATAGTGTCTCTACCTTAGAAGCAAGGAAGCCAGCTGGGTAGCTGGGCCTGAATCATTAGACCACTCTAAAACACTGCCCAGTCCACTTCAGTGATGCCCACTTTCTCTTGCCCTTTCCACTCACCCTGAATAATGTAATCCTGTTCCTCTACCCGAAATATGAGAAATGGGACCCCAAACTTAATTTATTTCAAGGCAGACAAGGACACAGTTCTTAGGAGCTTTTTGGGAAGGGATTAACCAAGGCTAAGAGAAATCAGCCTTTAATTATGTGAAAAGTTATCTAAAGCCAACTTGTACGCCATATTAAAGAATACACTTAGGGTCTGAATCTTCTGTTCAATTTCTACCCAAAGAAGACCAATGAAGCTCTCCAAATGTGGACGCTGACTGTGGCCCACTAGTTTGGGCAGCTTCAGGGCCAACATCCTGTCTGGCACCAGGTGCCCCAGTGAACTGGAGGTCAAGCAGGTGACCCTGACCCTGGCTTGGTACATTAAGGAGACAAAATCTTTTCTCTTGTTAATCACCATGATAAAGGTGATTGAGCGGGAATTATTTTTCAATGACCTATATAATTTCTTCGGGCTGCTATAGCTTTTAGCAGGGAGCAGCTGACTTCTTAATGACTTGATGGTAGCAGGGCCCTTCCAGAGAAGCACAGGGAGTAGCAGGCCCAATCTACAGACAAGAAATAAATGATAGGCATTGTTCTTCCCCCTCTTGAGGCTGTCCCTGCTCAGTTTTTGCCTCCTTCCCTCCAGGGGGTAGGCAGTTTTCTCTGTCCCAGGATGGTTGGGGCTGCAGCACCCGCTGAATGGCGTTAGCTAGATCTGTTATAAATAGATGGGTCCAGGAGCCCAGGGATAAGTCACCAGAGCCGCTCACGTGATCCCCAAAGTCCCAAGCAAACAGGGCTGCGGCTACCACCAACACCAACACCTCCTCTAACCAGGCTTGAAATAAAATACCTAGATCTGCCCCCTCGAAATAGGTTAACAAGAGAGCATTGTTGAGAGCAAGGAAAACACACACACGTACAATCAATAACAACCATGACCTGAATGCAGTCTCAGCAAATTTATGAAATTGAGCAAGAGCCACCCAACAAGTCCTTATCCCAGGAAAGTACTCCAACCTGATTGGCACCACCTGTCTCTTATAAATGAGCGCGAGGAGGCTGAGAGAGGAAAACTGAGATCCAGAGCTCCTTGCCTTCGCCAGTTCCTCCCTTAGGATCAAGGTGTTCTGCCCCCAGGGACGAGGAGACGGGTGGAGAGCCTGGTGACATCTTCCTCCGTCAAAACAAGCCGGCCTCAGTCCTCCAGGGTCCTTCACCCAGCACCATCCAGTGCTGGGAGAGCCCCGCTCAGGGACCCCTTCTGGGACACTGCGCCCCAATGGTCGTCTCTCCTTCCCCCCGCACACACCCTAAAATAAGACGCTGTCGGCGCGAACGTCGGGTCGGCACCCCACGTACCTGTCGGCGGCCGCGGCCAGGCGGAAAGTTTGCGCCGCGCTCTCCGCCACCCGCGCCGGGCACTGTCAACTAGGAAGGCAGCGTCGGCTCCTCGCTCGGCCCACGCGACACTCCCCGCGCCCAGGCCGCCTTCCCGGCCAGGCTGGTTCCGGGTCGGTGTCCAGCGGGGCTCGCGTAGAAAGTACAAGGCGAGGGAAGGTCAGGGCGCAACTCCCCGACGGTGCGTCAGCCCGCGGCTGAGCTCTCGGGTCCCGGGGCGCGCCCCCACCCGGCCCCACCCCCTCGTGCCCTCGGGAGCGCGGGCGGGGCCGCAGCCAGAGGCGGAGCCCAACCTGCCGGCCCCGCCCCCCGCCTGGCGTCGCGCGGCCACCAGGTGCGTGGAGGACTCGGGTGGAGCGCGCTGCGGCGCGTTCGGGTTTCCAAGGTGAAGGGGGCGGAGCTTCTGAGAGAAAGTTTCCACCGAAACTTGAACTGGCGCTTGACGCCTGACGCCTCGCCCTTGGAGGTTCGCCCTTCGCCGGAGCTTCACCTCTTCACACACAGCGCCAAAATGAATAAGTAATAAAGAAATAAATGACCCCTGAAGTGGGCAGGGGGAAATGTGGTCTCAGGACGGGAGGTTGCTGTTTTGCTTTTTAAGCGCAACCTCGGCGTCTCCCGGCTGGTCTGAGTCTGAGGCACTTGTGCAGAGCGGGAGGGCAGCTGCGCGCGTCGCCTCCCAGGCCCTCTGTCCGCCACGCCCCCGACGTGCCCGGCCGAAGTCAGGTTCTAAATCCCTCGGGAGGAATCCGAAACTCGGGTAGAGGCGCTCTCGACATTTTCATGGCCATGCGGTTGGTGCGGCCGAAACTGGAGGTGAGCGGCCGCACCACAGGGTGCAAAGGGGGATGTGTAGTGGAGGTCTCCGACCGCAACTGCATCCTCCTGGCGCCTCACCAGTCTCCTTTGGAGGAAGAGCTATCTGCCCTCTTTCTGGATGAATGGCATCCGGAGAGAACCAAAATGAGCTGAGCCTGGTTTCGGTTCTCTCTTGCAATCATAGTAATATGCAAATTTCACGCTTTCTTAGACAGCTGTCTACCACCACGGCGGCGGCGCTTGTAGGTGGCACCAGGGACGCAGGATGAACATGCTGCATTTCTCAAGATTCACCAGCGTTTACTCATGCTAAGTATGGTGGAGAAGGGACTCCTAGGTATAAAGTGGGGAAGGACGGAGGCGGTAGAGCTAGAGCAGGAATCAAGAGAGAGTTTCTGTGCAGCGTGTCACGTTGGCCTGCTCTAGCATTTGGAATGTAGGGTAATCAAATTTATTCAACATGTATCAGTGGGGTGTTTTGGCACAGTAAGCACTCTTTTAAGGCTTAGGAAGACCTCATAGAACACACAAAAATCCTAGCCTTCATGGAGCTTTTATTCCAGATAGATGGATAGTTGATAAATAAGGAAAAGGTGTGAACCTGTACCAAATGATTAGAAATGTTGTGGGGCTTGGAATGCACCTCAGTTATAGAACACTTGTAGCATGCATGAGGCCCTGAGTTTGATCTCTAGCAACCCCAAAAGAGATAAGTGCTATGGAGAAAAATTAAGCAGACAGAGGTACAGAAGCAGTATGAGGGGTGCTCATGGAACAAGATATCTGGGCAGAAAACTTTCCAGGTAGAAAGCACACCAAATGCAAGAGTCCCCGAGACAGAAATATGCCTAATGTGCTAGGAACAACCAGAAGGGTAGGTGGAAAAATGGAGAAGATGAAGTCAGATGTAAGAGGTGGGAGTGCTGCAGATGAGGTGAGGCTTTTGCTCTGCTGAGTTGGGAGCCATTGAGGGTTTTGTGTATGAAAGTGACATCTCTGACCCTGGATGTCATGCTATGGTTTGGGTATCGCCCAACACCCATGTGTTAAAGGATTGTTCCCCACCAGAACCATGGTATTATTGAGGTGGTGGAACCTTTAAGGGTAGGGCCTAGTTGGAAGTCTGACAATCAGTTATGGGGGTATGCCCTTGCAGGAGCTATTGGGACCCCAGACAGATCCCCCCTTTCTTCCTCTCTGCCCAGCTATGAGGTGAAAGTTTCCTCTACTGCAATCTCCCACCATGATATCATGTCTCCCTCTAGGCCCATGCACAAGCAGCCCATTGGCCATGTACTGGAACCTCCAAAACTGAGCCAAAACAGAACTTTCCCCATTATAAATTGATTATCTGATGTTTTGGTACAGTAATGAAAATGGGACTGGCACCATCCATTTTACTGTTGGATTGAGAATAAGCAGTACAGTGCAACAGCTGGGTGCAGAGACCAGTTAGGAAACTACCAAAATAGTCCATAAGCAAGATATGGTGCCTTAGGCCCAGGAGACAGAGATGAAGATGATGATTTTATGCAGTTTCCTCACAGATTAGATTTGGGGTATGAAAGACAAGGAGAACCCTGAGGCTTTCAACTTAAACACCTGTTGAGAGTGGAATTGCCATAGCAAAGAAGGAGATGACTTCAAAAGATACAAGTTGGTAAAGTTAAGGCAGAAAAGAAAAAATGCTTTTTTTTTTTCTTTTTAGGGACCAGGGATCAAACCCAAGGCCTTGCTCATGTTAAGTACACATTCTACTACTAAGCTACATCCCCAACCCCTTGACATATAACTTGAATGACTCTCAATTTCCTCACCTCATAAGATGAAGAAAATGATACCTACTATATTATACAAAGATAACATGAATTAACCCAGTGAAATGTCTAGAACAGTACCTGATAGAGTACGTGGTAGGCACTTAATATTTAAGAATGTTAGTTCTCCAATACAAATATGAATCTCATACATATCCATTATGCCCAGTGGCAATGAAACAATTATCATTTTAGAGGAAATATGTCTTACTAGAAGAGAAGGAAATGAGGACAGAAATAAAAGGACATGAAATAAAAATGTAAGAAATGTCCAACAAAGGTTCCTAAAGACATCTATCTGCAAAGACACTTTCTTCTAAGATCTGCATCCTTGAGAGGACACCTATCACATCAGAATTAGCTAGTATGGAAAACAGTGAAATATAAGAAGTATGTTATATATCACAAAAAATATCTACAACATATGCAAAGGGTTTTGCTTTCTTGCTATTCTTGTAAAGAATTCTTTCAAATAAGTAAGATATAAAAATAGAAAAAGTTGGGCTGGGGGTGTAGCTCAGTGATAGAGCACTATCCTAGTATGCACAAGATGCTAGGTTCAATCCCCAGCACCTAAAAAAAAAGTAGGAAAATGGTCAAAGAAGATGAACAGAGAATTCAACAATAAAAAAGGCCAATATATGGATTTCAAAAGTCCACCCACATAAATTAAAACTAGAATAGAAGGCAATTATTTTTTGTTTATATATTTGGCAAAGATTAAAATAATGATGTGTATTTTTGGATGTTGGACAATATTATAAAAAGCTGAAGGATATGTAAATTATAATAATTTTTAGCAGTCTGTATCTGAGACCCTAAAATGCATATTTTTTCCCAGGGCCTTGTACATGCCAGGCAAGCACCCTACCACCGATGCATACTGTTGGAACCTCTGATGGGAATTTATTCTAATATTCAAATATTTTCTAAAAATTTACATGAGAGAGCAGGGATTTAGCTCAGTGATTTCGCCGCCTGCTGCGCAAGTGCAAGGACCCGAGTTCAATCCCAGGTACCAAAAAAAAAAAAAAATTTGCATGAGAATTTCCATTACAGGGTCATTTAAATGTAGTGAAAAATTGCACATATCCTAAGTATCCAAGAAAACAATTATGAAAAGCATTGTATTTTATGATACAGTCGTGATATGATATTCTAGGAAATGTTAAAAATAATATTGAAAAAGCAACAAGAGCAAAGGAGGAGGTATAGCAATACAGTACCTGACTTCAAGCTACACTTTAAAGCAATAGTGATGAAAATGGCATAGTGCTGGGGAAAAAGCAGATGTGTGGATCAATGGGACAAAATAAAGGATACAGAAACTTCCCCAGACACATTCAGCTATTTGATCTTTGACAAAGGAGCCAAAAACATATGTTGGAGGAAAGATGGCCTATTCAACAAGTGATGCTGTTGGGAAAACTGGTTATCTGCTTGCAGAAGATTGAAACTGGACTCTTATCTCTCACCATATGCTAAATTAAAACAAAAATGGATTAAAGATCTAAACATTAAACCTACTAGCAGGTAAAATAGGTAAAACACTTGTAGACACAAATATGGGAAAGATTTTTTAAACAGAACCTCAGTTGCCTAAGAAATAGCCACAAGAATCAATAAATAGGATTATATCAGACTAAAAAGCTGCACAGCGAAAGAAACAATCAGTAGAATGAAGAGACAACATAAAGAACGGGAAAAAATTTTTGCCAGCTACACCTTAGGCAAAAGACTAATAACTCAAAAAAATTAAATCACCTAAAGTTTAAAACTCAGTCAAGACAAAGAAGTAAAAGCAGCAAATAAATATATGAAAAAATATTCAGCATCACTGGTCATTTGAGAGATGCAGATGAAAACAACACAGATTCCACCTCACCCCAGAAAGAATGGCTGCTATCAAGAAATCAACCAATAACAAATGCTGGGGGGCAGGCCTTCTCCATTGTTGGTGGGAGTGCGTCCAGGCTGGTGCAACCACTGTGGAAATCAGTATGGAGATACCTCAAAGAACTAGGGCTAGAGGTCCCATTTGACCCAGCTATTCC